AATCAAAGAAATCACTCAGAAGGAGAGAGAAAAAGAAAGAGAAAGAACGAGAGCAAGAAGAAGTAGAGAAGATCACGAAGTTGAGCGACGGGAGAGAGAGAATTCGATTGAAGATCCCTCCAAAGAAGACAGTACAAGAGGATCCACACCCAAACAAATTCTACACTGTTGAATCCTACAGAGAAGCTATGTTATCACCACCTAAACCAAAAATGTCAGCCAAATCAAAGCTAATAGAGAAAAGACTTCAAGCTCAAACTAGACCATCTGCGAGTGGTGCTGCGAACTGTGATGGTGCAGATGGAGGTGATTCAGCGAGCTCACCGTCGAGCCCATCTGCTTGTGCTCCTTGTGGTTGAGGCCCTTGCGCTTGTAGCAGCCCTTGCGGAAACGCTTCATGCGGAAGAAGGCAATCTTCGTGTTCAGATTATTGCCAATGACGAACTTGACGAAGAAGTTCTGGAAGAAGGCGAGAATGTTGTGCGCAAAGTAGCCGTAGGTGCGCACCTCCACGCCGACCGTCTTCAGGGCGGAGCTGACAAACTGGTCCGNGGAAGAAGGCGAGAATGTTGTGCGCAAAGTAGCCGTAGGTGCGCACCTCCACGCCGACCGTCTTCAGGGCGGAGCTGACAAACTGGTCCGGGCTGGGAATCATGAAGCTGATGCCCGGGTTGCGGATCATGTTCGTGCTAACGTAGTAGGGAAGGACCGACTGGACGATGATGCCGCGGTCTTTGTACTCAGCGTGCAGCGCCCGGGAGNACCGTCTTCAGGGCGGAGCTGACAAACTGGTCCGGGCTGGGAATCATGAAGCTGATGCCCGGGTTGCGGATCATGTTCGTGCTGACGTAGTAGGGCAGGACTGACTGGACGATGATGCCGCGGTCTTTGTACTCGGCGTGCAGCGCCCGCGAAAGGTAGTCCATGTAGATCTTGCTGGCGCTGTACATCGCCAGCAAGGGCGTGGGAAAGAGGGCCGAGTAGGAGCTGATGTTGATGACGATGCCCGAGCGGCGCTTCTCCATCAACGGCAGGACAATGTGCGTCATACGGGTCACCGAGAGGATGTTGCAGTTGAGAATGTCGCTGATGAACTTGTCCGAATTGGGGATCTTCGTGAAGTACTCCGGGTACTTGTACGCCATGCCGACGTTGTTGATGAGGACGTGGACGTGGCCGTTGAGGGCGTTGATCTCCTCGGCGATGGTTTTGTAGATCGAGTCGAGGGTAAAGTCGACGGCCATCGTCTTCACAGCCGGGCAGTTCGGACACTCGGCGACGATTTCCGCCTTGACCTTGTCGAGCTTCTGGGCGGTACGGCTGATGAGGAGGAGGCAGTAGCCCTTGCGGGCCATGGCCTTGGCGTAGGCGAGGCCGATGCCGTCGGTGCTGCCGGTGACGATGGCCCAGCTGTCGGGGCCGGGGCGCCACTTGGCGCCAAAGCCGAGCAGGTAGCAGATAAAGTAGGTCCAGAGGGCCTGGATGAACTTGACCACCGCCCAGAGGGTGACCAGGAGGGCGATGCTGAGGAGGATGAGCATCGGCGTGGGCAGGGAGCGCAGCTCCGGCACGCGAAAGATGGTCAGCTCGGCGACGTCCCAGCAGGCGTCCGATGCCCTGTCTCCCGAACTTTCTGAAGAGGGTGATGAGGGTGATGAGGTGGTGCTGGTGGAGGAGGTGATGGCCGAGGCCATCGTCGAGACGGCCTCCTCCACTGCCCTCTGCGTGGCATTGACAAGTATCGTCGCCACTGTTGGCTCGTTCGTTGAGGATTTGTCCATCCTGGTGGTGGTGGTTGTAGTGAGTTTGGTGGTGGTGATGGTGATGGTACTAGT